TATATATATATATATATATATATCGTATTATAGTTATAATTAAAACAAATAAAGTGAATAATTTAATTTATAAACATTTTTACATAATTTTCATATACATAAATATAAAATTAATCAAGTTTGTATGAAAGTGAAGGTAGCCAATGGTGGTAGTGGCGATGGACGGTGGTGGTCGGTGGCCGATGGTGGTTGTGGAGGTGGTGATGGATGATGGTGATCGGTGGTCGATGGTGATTATGGAGGTGGAGGTGGCCGACGGTAGCTATCGATCATGGCGGCCGTCGCAACTAGCAGTGTGACCACTAAAACAAATATCATGTTAAAGTTATATACTAAACGATGGTTAATTAGTAATATTTTTAGTTTCTGTTTCATTCTTATCTCATCTTGTTCTACCTATTTTGGTGGAACAAAAAAAACTTATTTTATCTCACACTGTCCCACCTTATCTCAGTTCTCGTCTCTGCCTCATGCTACACAAAACGTGGGACATTGCGTTCTTGTCATGTCCCATATCGTGCCAAATGTGAAACAGTGAATTTTATCTCATCTTATTTCATGCACCAAATGCAACCTTATATTAAATGACTTAACTGATGTAATTAACTCTACAGTCACAATATTATTTTTTTATTTAAAAAATCTCACCCTTTTTACTTTTTATTCAAAAAATAAATAAAATTGGAAGAAAAAAATTACACTAAAAAACAATTATAATTTTGTTATTAATTTGACACACACACACACATATATATATATATATATATATACATACTTGGGATCATGTGAGACAAAAGGTTTTTCGTGAGACCCGTAAGACCAGATCTCAACCTTTGAATTAGATCTACAATCTGAACATTTATAATCACAAAATTGCCACGAGACTTCTCAATAATCACAAAATTGTCACCATACAACTTTAGACCATTAGATCATTAGCTTATAAAGTTGATCAATGAACATAAATTGATATTACGAGTCTCATGAAAAACCATTAGTCTCACGTGAACCCAATCATATATATATATATATATATATATATGTGTGTGTACTTGAAGAATTGGGTATGAAGTCATACTCTCCCAAGTCTCCTCACCCACCATTACATCATAAATATCAAATCTCAAACATTATTTTCACAACTGAATTAACAAATTACCCACAATTCATAAATACTAATAATTTATCATATCATATCAAATCATTCAATAATTAATTAATATATAATATTTATATCTGACAACATTCGTTCAAATTCTTATTTTTACTGAATATCAAAAAATCAGATCAATTCATACATTAAAAATATAAAAATATTAATACAATGATGAGAAAATCATTATTTAATAATATAAAAAGGGTATTAAACACTTACCTATTTCATTTGACCTGTTTGTAGACTCTGGTTCTATCGATAACACAAATATCGTAGGTTGTTGACAATTTGGTAGTGTATTATATATATATATATATATATATAT